TGATTATGCTGGGTGGTGCTAGGCAGTGGTGATATCTTAAATATCTTCCCCTAATGATTCTAATATGCAGCCAGATTTGAAGATCATTGGACTGTAGGTGAAGAGAAGAGAAGAAGGTAGACGTTAAATGGTGGGCCTGTCCTCAGGGGGAGCAGAAGGAAACAGAGAGGTGGGCAGAAAGGTGGGAGGAGAACTGGCGTAGGAGCAAGGCCATCTCGGGACAAACAGAATCTGAGTCAGAGGGTGAGGACAGAGTCGGGCACTTCATTAGGACTGGGCTGTCCCCTTGACCTTTGACTTGGGGCTATGGACATTGGCAGAGGTGAGGCGGAATGTCGGGGTGTGGGAAAGTTAGGGACAGCAGGGCCACAGACTGTTCTCTGAGGTTCTAGGCAGGGAAGCGAATGTTGAGAAGGGAAGGCTGGGGAGAGGGAAATGCAGACCTGGAGGTTTAAGGGAGGAGAAGAAAGGGGTTTGGCCCAAAACACAGCTGCAGGACGAGCCCTACTAAGAAGGGATACTAGTGACATGCAAAGTGGCCACTCCCGATTGGGTGGCCAAAGGGAGGTGGGACTTAAGCTGCTCGACTGTGTTTATTAAGCTGGTACTAGGTTCCAATATCGGTTTGTTCAGGCCTTCACTCAGGGCCAGAGCCCGACCCTCCATCTGATGGCCCTCTCTGCTCAGGTGGAGTTCTACTTCCTGTCCCAGTATGTGTCACCAGCCGACTCCCCGTTTCGCCACATCTTCCTGGGCCGCGGAGATCACACACTGGGCGCTCTGCTCGACCACGTGCGGCTGCTGCGCTCCAGCGGTTCCGGGGCTCTGGGGGCTGCCTCCTCTGGGGTGATGCCTGGCCTGGGCTTCCAGGAGAGCCGCTTCAGGCGCCAGCTGGCCCTGCTCACCTGGACGCTGCAGGGGGCCGCCAACGCACTCAGCGGGGACGTCTGGAACATAGATAATAATTTCTGAGGGGGGAGGGTCACAGGCCCCTGCCCCAGGCCGAGAGCTCCTGCTCTTCCCACTTGAGCGACTTCTGGGTGACTGGGCACCACTCATTGCTGACCAATTTTTTAATTAGCTCTTCCTGTCTCCTAGTGGTCCAATGTAAAATACCCACGCACCCTTGGCTCTACAGTGTGGGAGCAGATGAGCAGTGCCTTCCAAAAGGAACCGTCACACAGCTAATCAGATGGCGGCATCTGCTCCATCAGTCACAGCCCCTTGCTCTTCAGGAGCTGGGTCCCTCACACCTAGGGATCACTCTGGAAAGTTTCCTAGGCTCTGGGAAGCTGTCTTGGTGTGAGAGATGGCTGGGACCTTATGGCCAACACGTGGTGTTTGGCAAGAGGGGCTGGAGTTTAAACTTCAATAAACCACCTGGGCATCTGTTGTTTATAAACACCTTTGTGCTTCTTCACCCTCATTCCACCCAAGCGCCCATTACTTAAGACCTTCCCCGGGTCTTAAGTAGAAAGGGTTGGGGAGGATGCAAGTGGGAATGCTGTCTCCGTGGAGAAAACTCTGAGATGTTTCATCATTATGGAAGGAATCTGTTTAAGGAAATTGGGACTGCCCGGTCTCCAAACCCCACCATGGATAGGACACTGCCTCTGTACCTTCTCCTGGGACCTGGGACAGGCCACACATGGTATAAATTCTGGTGCTAAACAAAAATGCAGGGCTTCTTGTTCAAAAAGCAACACCAAAGCCATTTTCTTTCTTCCACAGTCACCCAACCTGTCATAGTGGTTTTTTATTTGCTATTTAGTGTCCTTATCCCTCAGATAGGGAAATACTCAGGTGCAGATCCCCATAGGCACGTGGGTTCGGCCCCACAACTTGGTACAGATGTACCTGACCCTGACCTAGACCTGGACCCCTCCTGTGCCTACGCCCTGGTTCCTGCCGGGGAAGGAGGGTGGCAACGGTTACCTGGTGGGAGCAGGAATCTAGGAGTCAAGATCCTATCCAGGGGAGGCAGGGCTCTAGCACATGTTCCCTGTCCCATCAGACCACTTCTAAAACATAAATTCAAAGGTAGACTCGTTACGAATCATAAGACAGTGACCATGGAGCATTAACCCCAAACATAGGACTCCCTTCTAAGCACGGGGCCTTGGGTCACTGCAGTGCTCAAATACCCATTAGATCGGCCCAGCCTGGGACCTCTTTCTGCCAGGGTCCCCTTTGGCCAATCTTTGTCCCGTGAGCTGGAAGCTGCAGGAGGGCAGAGAATTACAAGGGCTGGTGGCACCACTTTACCTTTCGTCTTGGTCTCAGCAGGCTGTGGCCCTGGCTGTCACTCCCAGGGCAGCTGCAGAAACCCCAGGGCCTGCCTCTCGGGCTCCTTGGTCCTCTCTTATTCCCAGTATGGCATGAGAAGTCCTGCCCACATCCTCAGGATGTGGGACACGAAGACCTCTTAGTCTGCTGCTTGGATTTCAGGATGAAATTGCCCCTCCCTAGCCCACTGAGCCTGGCTTGGTGAGATCTGAGGAGACTGAACTGGGATCAGAACTCTCCTCAGGCTGTTTGCTTCCCTGAGACACACAGTCCAAAACAAACCTTCTAAAGTGGCTTTTCAGCCATTCTTCACCTTGTCCATTCCCGCCCAGTAGTAGACAGAATAGTGGTCTGGGCAAAAAGGTCCACATCCTAATCCCCCAAAACCGAATGAATGTTATCTTACAACAAAAAGGATTTTCAGATGTTATTAAGTATAGGATCTTGAGATGGGGAGTATAATGGGCTGCATTGTGTGCCCCCCAAACCCATATGTTGAAGCTCTAACCCCTAATACCTCAGAATGTTTGTATTTGGACCTAGGGCCTTTAAAGAGATAATTAAGTTAGAATGAGGCCGTTAAGGTCAGTCCTACTCCAGTCTGACTGGTGTCCTTATAAGACGGGGAGGCCGGACACATAGACACCAGGGGTGCACACGCACAGAGGAAAGGCTGTGGGAGGACACAGCAAGAAGGTGGTTGTCTGCAAGTCAGGGAGAGAGGCTTCAGGAGAAACTAAACCTGCCGACCCCTTGATCTTAGACTTCCAGCCTCCAGGACTGTGAAGAAATAAATTTCTGTTGTTTAAGCCACTCAGTCTGTGGCAGCCCTTAGCAAACTAACACAAGGAGTGTCCTTATAAAAGAAGACAGGAAGATCACAGATAAAGTAGATATGATGACAGAAGCAGAGGGTCTGTGTCAGAGATTTAAAAATGATACACTCCTAGTTGCTTTTTTTTAAGTGTTTTTAAACAATTATCATTTGTTATTTCCACTCCTGGCTTGCAAGATGGAGGAAGAGGCCACCAGCCAAGGTATGCAGGTGGCCTCTAAATGCTAGAAAAGGCAAGGAAACGCCCTCCTCTGGAGCCTCCAGGAGGGAGGCAGCCCTGCTGCTACATTGATTTTTATCCTCAGAGATGCTTTTTGGATTTCGGACTCCCAGAACTATAGAATTAATTTGTGTTGTTTTAAGCCACTAAATTAGTGGCTTTAGTCACAATTTCTGTGACTAAAATGGTCACAGAAAACTAATACACACCCACTTGAACTTCTGCAAGTACTGTTTTCTTTAAAAAATTGCTCAAATAAAAGTCTGTTTCCCAAGCTCCTTGCAATCCTTCAGCTGCGTCTTAGAAAACCTTCCTGATCCCACCGGCAACAGGCCTTTGCACACCCAATACCAGAAGGATCATTAATGTATGGTACCTGAAATCCATTTTGGGGACCTGGGCATGGCCAGCCCAGTATGAAGGGTGAGGGGATCGCTGGGCCATGGTAAGAACCCTCTTATACTTCCGGACTCAGGCTGTAGAGCCGTTCTCCGCACACTAGCAGGGCCACACCCCGCTGGGGCCAGCTGCAGTGTGGGAGGAACAAGACTCGCTGGGCAGTGGGGCAGCTCCCAAGACCCCCAGAGTAAAGCTGGGACCACTGATAATCTTCCTGCAGCATGACAGACCAAGTCTCTCATACCATTATCTTGCTGATTTTTGTCTCCAGTCAACAATCTGGTGTTGCCAAAAGCCCCTTTCCCTTGCCTCCCCCTCCCCCTGCATCTGTAGGAGGGCTCAAAGCCTGCTTTTTGAGGATCCTGCTCTTTTACTGTGCCTTCAGGTCTGCTGCCTGGCTAAGTCAAGGTTATGTCAGGGAATGCTATTTCCCCCCATCTTCAGGAACCTTGGTGTTTCTGACCCACATGACTTGGAGTCAAAGGAAGAGACAAAATAAAAGCAGATAAAGGAACAAAGAGACAAGGGGATTCTGGGAATTGGAATTATCCAGGCAGCCCTGGCAAGAGGCTCCAATGGCTCGAGACAGCAAGACTTGATCTCTACAGCAGGTGGTATTTTTTATTCTTTTTAGCTTAGATATGTTGGCACAGGGACAGGATCCTATTTTGTAGGGCTAAAGGGTATCTTAATAATCAGCTGTCCCTGAGATTGTAACTTGGTACAGCCACTATGTGAAAAGTATGAAGATTCCTCAAAAAATTAAAAATAGAGCTCCCATATGACCCAGCAATACCACTTCTGGCTATTTACCTGAAGAAAAGAATAGCCCTGGCTGGCATGGCTCAGTGGATTGAGTGCTGGCCTGTGACCTGAAAGGTTTCTGGTTCAATTCCTGGTCAGGGCACATGCCTGGGTTGTGGGCCAGGTCCCCGGTTGGAGACCTGCAAGAGGCAACCACCTGATGTTTCTTTCCCCCTTGTTCTCCCTCCCTTCTCTTCTCTCTGAAAATAAATATTAAAAAAATAATAATTTGAAAAGATATATGCACCCTGATGTTCATTTTGGCATTCTTTACAATAGCCGAGCTATGGAAGTAACGCAGGTGTCCATCAATAGATGTGTGGTTAAAGAAGACATTACACACACACACACACACACACACACACACACTGGACTATTAGTCATGAAAAATGAAATCTTGCCATTTGTGAAAATACAGGTGGACACAGAAGGCATTATGCAAAATGAAATAATAAGTCAAAGACAAGGACAAATACTGTATTTCACATATATATGGAATCTACCAATCAAAACAAATGAATAAACAAAGCAAAACAGAAGCAGGCCCATTAGATAGAGAACAAGCTGATGTTGCCAAAGAGGCAGGGGTAGGGGGCAATGAGGGGGTAAAGAACTAACTTTTCCAATTCCTTCACTTAGTGGGTAGAAACTGATGCTCGGAGAAGTCAGAAGACTCGCTCAAGGTGACAGTTCTTTTTGGTGTGGCTCCAGAACAAGAACCCAGGTGCTTTAAATCCTGGCCCAGGTGCCTGGGTTCCCTGAGGAACCCAGGGAATGGGAATAGGAGGAACTGGAGGAAAAGCAGTACAGAGAAAGGGCATGTTCTCTACATTTCTCAGTTTAATTTTGCAAATTTATTTTATTCAACTTGAAAAATGAATACAAATCCCTGGGTATTTTTTGTCGGGGGTGAAGGGAGTGGCATTAATAAGGGAGTAGGAGTTGAGGCAAGGTATGCGCATCACAGTGGCTGTCTCTCGTCCGCGTCCTGCCTGGGGAGAAGGGTAGAGGTTGAGCAGGGACTCAGGTCCGGAGGAAGACCATGGTGAGAAGGCCTGCAGAGGGGAGAAAGAAAGAGCAAGGTTGTATTAGCAGCACTGGAGCTCTGGAAGCCCTCTTACCAGTCCCTACCCCTCTTTCTCTGGGGCCCAGATTCCTTCGTCACTGCTGTTCTTACCCAAGATGTAGGCTGCCACCAATTTTTGTCCCAGGGAGACGTGCAGGATTTGGGGCAACTGGCTGCCGAGTTCATCCTGGAGCGGGAGCAGCAGGAAGGCCACAGAGACTATGCCCGTGAGCAAGAAGAGGAGGAAGGAGCTGGTGGCCAGTTGTGGGTGGGATTCTGGGAAACAAGGCTTGTCAGAAGCTCCAGCCCCAACTCCTCCCAACCCAAGGTCCTCCAGGGAGGAGACTAAAGATGGAAGGTGTGGACACTTTTTACTGCCCTCCAGGAGCACAGTGCAAGTGTCCTCTCCTCCCTGGAGCCTCTGTCTCCACGGCCACAGAAACCCTCTCTCCTCTGGTCCCTCAGCATATTTTTTCTACCTTCATTCTTCCTGATTACTGGCTCCTGTGTACATATCTGTCAAACAGGAAACTCCATCTTCCAGACCCAGCATACAAGTTGGTGTGGCATAATTGCTCAGTACAGGTTTCTTATGGAACTGAACTGAGCTGGCATATGATAGAAAGCGCTGAAGTTGAAGCTAAAGAAAAACTTTTCCATCTAAATAGAAGCCAGAAACCAGGGAAACTGAAAAATCTGCTTATGCCCTAACCTGATATAAAATCTCAACCTGATATAGAATGTTTCCATCAAAAAGCAAAAGACTCAATCAGAAGACCTCTGCAACTCCAAATGAGCTCATCTCTAGGATAATGCTAGGTCTTCCCTCCCTACAGAACTCAAGAATGCCCATCCCCCAACTCACTCTCAGGGAGGTGTCTGGCCATGGGTGGTTCTGTCCAGGAAGGAGGCCCTGGGTGGGGCATTGGGTCAGGCTGTCCCTGAAGTTCAAGGGGGTAGGCTGGGGCCCTCAGAACCGAGGTGATGTCCTTGCGCCCCACCACTCGGCCCTCAGCTCCCTCCTCAGACAGCTCAATTCGGAAGCGGTCCTGGACATCATAGTGGCTGGCAATGGGGGCCACGTGGCGAATCACACTGGTCCCAAGATAGAAGAGAGGCCCATTGTGAGGAAGTGAAAGGCAGTGATCCAAGTGGATCCAGGCCCCACCCTCCCAGGAAACTTTCCCATAGGGTTGCAGATGGAGGGTGGAGGGAAAAGGGTTAAAGAGGACCAGGTCTGAGACCTTAGACCACTGCTCAGTTATTCAGAGAAAGGTAGCAGTGGCCTCTGGCTTCCCCACCCTTCCAACTCACATGTCAATGCAGGACTGAGGCTTCACGTATCCTTCTGCGTCAAACACTGTGTATTTGGCAGGAGCTGTGCACAAGACTGGGGGGATAAAGGCACAGAGAGACCGATTATTGCCTCAGAGACCCTACACAAGCCTTTCCCATGAAGGCACACTAGAATCCCCTTGCCTTCTACTCCCAGGGCTCCACATGACTCTTCCAGTACACCAGGGACAGACATCTGCCCATATTCATCTTACTCATCCAGTCCACAGGCCCCCCCCATATCCTGCCACCAGCCCCCAGACTCCTAGCAGGAGGTTCCCATCCCTTCACCTCGGAAGCGAAGCGCAGCTCCCGTGGGGTTATAGAGAGTCAGCAGCTGCCTGGGTCCGCTCCGTTGGTCCGCCCTGAATACTAGATCCGGGGGAAAGACGAGGACCGGGACAACAGGCCCCGAGGGAGGAAGAGCACCCCGGGACCCCCGCCCAGGAGCTCCTGGACCTACCAGCTCTTGGTCTTGGGGCGCCCTGCGGCGCATGCAGGCTCTGAGCGGTGGGACATCAGAGGGCTGAGCTCGGGGGACAGGGCCCGGAGTCTAGAGCTGGGAGGCGGGGGGGGCGAAAGGGAATGGATGAGATGGTGGGGCCATTATGGACTGATACCGCCACCACTGCCGCCTTGGAACTCTACTAGATCAGTCTCGGCAGACCAGGCCCTGGCCTTTGCAACCCTCCGCTTTTCAGCAGCTCCCTTTTCCTTTAGGCCCCGCCCAAAGCCCCCACCTGGATAGTCACGCCCACCCGGTAAACCACGCCCCTTGCAGCTTTCAACTCCCGCTTTATTTTCAGGTCCGGTTCAACATTTCAAGAATCCCCGCTCCACCAGGACCCACCCCTTCCGGGAGCCCGGGGTTCCGCCCCTTTCTCGGGCCAGACTCCGCCTGCCGCAACGGTCTCCACGGGAGCTCCCCTGTCTGCTTCCCGCCCAGTAGAGACCTTAGGTGTGCCTCCGACACCTTCCTGAATTCAAGCCCGCGCTCTTTTGGGTTTCCGCCTCCGACCCGCCACTGGTGCTACAAGGCTCACCTCCTGGTGACAGCACCTGCCAATCAAATTTGTGACCAGACTAGGCTGCTATCTGCCCAAAAGACTGTTTCGGCACTTCCGTCAAACGGCTTCGGTCATTGGCCAGGGCGGCCTTGTTTCCGCCATAAATATAAGCCGATTGGTACGTTTAAGAGGGGATTGACAGGATCCTAGTGACAGGAAACCACTGGTGTCTCTATCTAGAACTCTAGCCTTCGAGAGACCTGGACGAGCGTGAGAGCGGGCCGTGTTTCTTCCTCCGCGCTCTGAGACCGTCCAAATTGCTAGAATCCCAGCCCACAAAGAAGCCTTCTTTCTCCATCTCAATCCCAGGCTCTCCTAGAAGCCCCTGCAGCAACCGAGGCCGTTTCCCGCAGTACTAGTTGGAGGTTGCTTCCAGTTGGATTCGAGTCTCAGTCCTATGTTCCTCTCTTTCCTTCATGGCATTCTGAAATTACTCACATTTGCACAGAGAATTAAGATTTACCAACCCTGCCACTTAAATAATCACTTCAAATCTTCAAATCTTCCAGACAAGGAAACATCAGCCAGGTGTACAGTATACCCACAGGCCACACAATTGGTTAGCAACGGAGCAAAGACAAAGTTGATCTTACCAGAAAGCCCTCCCTGTGCACCCTATCAAATGTAGAATTTCCCTTGTCTGTCCTCTCAATCATGCTTTTGTTTTCTTCGTAGCGTTCATAGTTACTCGTCCTTGTGTTTATTTGCTGTTTATCTCTGCTCCACAAGAACGGGAACTTTACTTTGGTGCCTAAATCAGCGCATGTGATTTGGAATGTACAAATGACTAGAATAAACTTTGAGCTGAGATCTGATTGAAGTTAGGAATTGAGCCATGAACTCTCTATGCAACAGAATTCCAAATAGGGGGATAGCACAGGCAAAAGCCAGTGTACCAGAAATGGTCAAGGAGCCAATGTGACTGGAATAGTGGTATTAAGGGAGGTGAGAGGAGAGGAGATGAAGGATGCAAATCATCTAGAGCTTTGGAGCCCACAGGACGACTTTGGATTTTATTCTGAGACTGATGGAAAACTATAGGAGAGTGCTTATATAGTTTCTTCTTAACAGCTTTGAGATAATCTTTAACATATAACTTGTGTATATTTAAGATCTACAACTTGATGGTTTGTATACATTGTGAAAAGATCACTTCAATCAAGCTCATTAGCATAACCCTCATCTCTAAATGGTTACTATTGTGTGGGTTTGCCTGTGGGGTAATTTTAAGCAAAGGGGTAACAAGCTCCAACTTAGGTTCTTAAAAGATGATTCTGTATAGTAAATGTCTGTTGAGTTTAATGAATGAGTGAATATAAATCCCCAAGATGGGCACCAAAACCATAGAAATGCTCCTTCCTCAGTAAAGGAACATTTATTTGGATAAAAAATGGGTCCCTAGAGCCAAGGTCCAAGGCTGGCCTGGGTTTCAGGCCTGGGACCTAGCAGCCCGAACAGGCTGGGAGGGGCACTTCCTCTTGCTGAGGCTGGTGAGGATCTGGTCCTGGTTGGGCCGGTAGAGAACCACGAAGCTATCTGGAGGGAGGACAGGACCTCTGTTCTCTTCTACCTGGCCCATCAGCAGATAACTGGCTCCTGGGGGATGGGGAAAGAGGGGTTGAGGGATCATGTTATATACCTTGTAGATGTAAATCTGAGGGTAAAATCCCTCAGATTTTACCACCTTATCGTTTCCATGAGGCCAAACACCCCTCTCCTCCCCTCTACCCCACATCCCTATTACCTTTCTTCATGGGGGGACACTGCTTGCAGGGCACATAAAACTTCAAGGAGGTATCTGCGGGTGCAGAGGGCAGGTCCAGGCCCCCGGTTTTGTAAGCGCCAATAAGACTGACAGTGACAGTGAGGCCTTCCCCTGGGCCCCGAACCATGGACTTGATTGTTCCGGTCACCACTGTGGGAGAGTGAGGGTGAGTGGTCAGGAGACAGGAGGCAAGGGTAGGGTTGAAACCAGAAGAGGGGCACTTTGGGACAGGAGGGGAAGTTAGAGGAGCTGGAAGAGCAGAGCATGTGAATGAGGCTTCTTACCCAGGTTGCTGATACAGAAGTTGCTTTGCAAGGTGCCTGTCCTCCGGCACTGCTTTGGGCAGGTGACACTGGGTGTATCTAGGAGTGGGAGGTGACATTGTTTGTGGAGGGTGACCTAACCAGCAAGTAGGAAGGACTACTTTCCCTATAACAGCCTCATTGCTTTGAATTTGTTCAGATTTCTATTCAGCTTTGGGTCCTAGCACCCGTTATTAGCACAGGTGGCACCAGTGAGTGTTGTAGGAATGAATGAATGAATGTGCCCAGGGAGGAACCCTTTGATACATCTTCCTCGGTCTGTGTCCCCTTCCTTCCCCTTCCCACACTCACCTGAGCCCACGGGGGTTGCCTCGGCCTCAGGCGAGGCTTTTGGTTTCTCCGCAGGTGGGAGTTCTGGCTTGACTTTGGGCTCAGCTCCCGGCTTGGGGCCCGGGCCAAGGAGTGGGGGTCTTGGCCGGGCATCCTCCCCTGGGTTCCCGGCCGACCCTTCTTTTGCGGCGCCCCGTGGCAAGGTCCTGTAGGAGGCTGAGAAGCCATCGGCTGTGACGCTGAGGTCCGAGACGAACTGGACGAGGAGCTCATTCCCTTCGGAGGAGATGGGACTGCGGGCAGCGGCGGGGCATTGGGGGAGGCGTCAAGGGCCTGCACCTGGCCTCTACCCAGGCCAGCGGCGTTTTAACCTCTGCTCCCTGGTTGGCTGCATTAGATTCCTGACTTCGTAGTCGTAGGCTCCACTGGTCTCTGTATTCACGGGCCTCAGCCTAGTGTTGAGCCTGGTACCCTACCTGCTCCACCCACCCACCCACTCGTTTGGGGCTGGCCGGTTCAGATTCCACCTCTTCAGCTAAGCCCCACCCCTCCCAACAGCAGCAGGGTCGGACTCCGGAACCTGGAGAGGTGGAGACACCAGGCCCATCCACCCGCCCAGGTCCCGCCCCTCACCCAGGGGCTGTGTCTCCGCAGAACTTCCCCAGCCTCTTGGCGTCATCGCTCACGGCTCCGTTGAACACGCTGACTGAGTCATATCGGCAGTAGGTGTCCGGCTCCACGTCAAACTTCCCAAAGGTCAGCGAGATCACCTGATGGCAGGGCAGAGGGCAGAGGCTGCTCGGTACCTCTCGCCTCCTCCACCTACTACCCACTTAGGAAGGCTTGCAGCAGCCTCCCCTCACATCCCTTCGCGCTGCCCTCTAAACGCACTCATATCGTAGCAACTCGGAGGCCCACAGACACCAGAACCCGGCAGCGGCCTCCCTTGCCATAGTGGGCAAGGTCAAGTCCTGGCTCATTCTCAAGGAATAGACCAAGAATCTGCCTCTTCCGCCTCCTTCTCCTCCTTCCCCCCCCCCCGCCCCTCACACACACCATCACAATTTATCAGCATTAGATACCTCGCTGGTCCCAGGTGTAATTTTACTTTTTTTTTGTTTGTTTCATGCAGGCACATTGGGTGTGTTTTTGCTCCCCACCAGCTAAGCTCAGTGTTTATGACACAGCAGATGCTCTTGCTAGCTGCATGCTGGAGGACGCTGCTCGGGTTCCCGAGAGCACCCCAGGCAGGGGGGCGGTACCTGGGTTGGGGGTGCGGTACCTGGTTTGGGGGTGCGATGATGTGCCAGGAACAGCTGATGCCCGGGGGGTAATCAGACTCGGGCCAGTTGGGCGTGGTCAGGGTTCCCTGGGCTTTCTCCAGCCGCCCCCCGCAAAATTGGTGCTCTGGGGAGGGGAGAGAGGAGTGGGGGTGGGGGGCAGTGGAGACCCTCGGTCAGCTTGAGAAGAGCTCTAGACTGGGAACTCGTGCAGGAAGGTCGCTGTCGGGGTCTCAGGATGAGGGGGAGAGAAGAGGGTAAGGAAAGAGGTGGGTAGGTTAGCAGAGGAGGAGCGAGGCTCAGGGAAGTCTAGGACCTCCTGGCGCCCAGGCTGGCTGTGGAAGGGGGAGGAGGAATTGGCTAGACACGCCCCTTCTTGCCCCTCCCCCTGACCCGCTGCCACACCGTTCCTCTTCCCCTAGTAGATCCCATCTCCCCCGCCCGGCAGAGAAGTCTCCTTTGCAGGCTGGAGAGTTCCCACGCTGTGAGGGTTCCCTCAATTTGGGGCATAACCTCCTAGGCCCCTTTGGGAGGTCCTTGCCTTAAACATTTTAGAGGAGACTTCTGCCACCAGGAAAGGGTGATGGGACCGCAATCGGGAGCCCCGGGCTGGGTGAAGGGGGCTCCGGGTCGGGGGAACCTGGTCCCCCTTCCCGGAGGTACCCCTCGCGCCTCTCAGAGGGAGCCCGATTGCGGACGGGGGCAGGCAGTTACTCACCGTCCCAGTAACCCCAGGCCGCCCATTCTACCCGCGGGTCGGTGACCCATTTCCGCCTTGCGCCTGGGGTGGGGCCTGGAAGAGGGGGTGGGTGGGAGCAGGAGAGGGGAGAGAAGACGGGGAGGAGGGACTGGAGGGGCAGTTAGTGAGGGAAAAGGGAAAGGGAGGCAATGGGGACCTGGGAGGTTAAGGCTGGGGGCAGGGCATGTGTCGGGGTGGGGCCAGGAGAGGGGGAAGGCGAAGGTGAGGGAGGTCTCACCAGTGCCCGAGGTGGCCCGCCCGCTGTACCAGAGCAGGAAGCCTCGTCCTCCTGTGCCCTCGTCTGCTGTCATCTTTAGGGTCACCTGGTTGCCAGGGGCGACTATGGGCGCTGGCCGGAAGGTCCCGCAGAAGCGCCCGAGCCGCTGGCCCGAGGTTCCAGACCCGGCAAAGACCTCCAGAGCATCATAACGGCAGGCAGGGTGTAGTTCCAGGTCAAAAACTCGGAAGGAGAGGGACACAGTCTGGCCTTCGGGGACCTGGTTGCAGAGATAGCAGTGGGGACCCACAAAGTCAGGTCATAAACAACTCAGGCAGAGGGCACTTCCCTTTCCCCAAGCATTTTCTAGAGAAACTTGGGTCTGAACATAAAGGGACCCCATCAGGGTGGCGAGCAGAGGGCCAGGACCCTGCATCGGGCTTGCGGCTTGTGCACAGGACAAGACCTGAGGTCTGTGGAGAGTTTGCAGGGGGCAGGAATGATGTTGGGATTGGAGTAACAGGCTTTGAATTAAAGGTTAAGGGTGAGCACACTGCCACGTATTGTTGTGGACACTGGTGCCATCAGTGACTGGAGGGGAGGGGTCTTGGGACTTCCCCAGGGAGAAGTGGTGGTACTGGGGGAAGGCATTTGGCTGCCTGGATTTAGGACTTGGAGACTTTGATGAGGGATAGTGACCAGAGGGGCCTTCTCACCGTGATTGTCCAGATGCAGTCCTTATTGGGGGGGTAGTGGTTGGGAAAACTCTCACTTGCCACGTAACCTGACTCCCCAGTCACATCCCCTCCACACAGGAACACAGGTCTGGAGGACATAAGAGGGGTCAGTCATGGGTGGGGGAGCAGTGGACAGACTGGGATAGGGTAATGAGGGCGGGGAGGCCCCAGGGGGAAGCCTGGGGGATGGGATGGCCTCAGACGGCCAAGACAGAACTGGTGTGGGAAACACTACAGAAGAAGATGAGGAAAAAGTGGGGCCAGCAACTTGGCCATACCTCCAACCCCCAGCCCCAGCCCCCAGCCCCGACAGGAATTCCCGGAATCCTCAGCCCCACTTCCTCATCCTCCCCGCTCACAGCGCCAAGCAGTCCACAGCAGCTGCCTAACTACTTCCAGATGTGGACGCGGCCACATGGCTGTGCAGGGGGAGGGGGTGGAGTGTGGAGAAGCAGCAGCGATGGCCCTGAAATTGAACCTGGAGATCAGGCTCCCTGAGCTCCCAACCTTTGCTCCACTCCTGTTCCAGCTAATTACTTGATTATCTGACTCCCAAGTCTCCCACTTGCTGCCCCTGCTTTCTCCCATAATCTCTAATTCCTTCGTGGGATCCAGATGTCCAGCTACCAGGCAAGTTCAGGTCTTGGCTCTCTCTCAGGTTCCATGGGGGCGGGGAGGGAAGGGTCTAGGTGAATGGGCAGACTTAGAGGGCAGAGGACAGAGGCTGAAGAAATGGGGAGCAGTGGTGTCCTGCAAGAGACAGTGGTCTTGCAGCAGAGGACAGACTTGGGGGCCAGAGAGGGGTACGTGCTGTGGGAGATCTTGGGGGTGTTGTGTCAGCAGAGGAATCCACAAGATCCACAGGCATAACCCCTCAGAAATTGGCTTTTGGAACTCAAACTAACTGAAAGGTGCCAAGAGACCTACCTGGTGTAGTTCGGGGTCTGGCCCTGGGCAAAAGGCAGCAGGGCCCATGCAGTGAGGAGGGGCCCCAAGAGGGAGGCTGTGGTAGCAGGCAGCATGGCTGGGGGGCGGCGCTGGGGTCCCTCAAGATAGAGGCAGCAGCTGAGTTTAGCAGCAGCAGCAGCGGCAGCAGCGGCAGCAGCAGGGATAATCGGTGCCAGATGAGGCAGCCTCGGGTGTGTGGGCGTGGGGACTGGCCAGTAGGGAGGGCGGTGGGGAAGGCGGGACAGGGAGAGTACAGCCGGGACAGTGGTGAGTCCAGGGGCCTCTCTAGGTACAGGGCACAGAAATACTGACCTAAGTAGTGGGTGGAACAATGAAGAGCCAAGGGAGCACCAGGCCCTCAGCCATAATCTAGGCATCAGTTAATGCCATCTGGAAGCCCTCTCTGTCCAGTGCCCGAGCACCCTGTGAACACAGTGTCTAGTCCTTCCAGAGGATTCTCCAGTCCACTCATGATCTTTTCTCTCCGTTGCTTCTTCCTTAGCATCCAGAGGAAGTCCTTTCCTGGGCCCCCAGACTTTAAGCATTCACCCTCTTCCTGACCACCACCTGCTCCAACTTGTTTTCCACTCCAAATTTCCAGCCTTCTCTCTACCCCCGGTCCAGACTAGGTCAAAGAGAAAAGAATTCTGCTCATCCATTTTCTCCCAAATTATCTGTAGGTACAGGGGTGGGACAGGGAGGCATGGCATGTAAAGGGAATGTCTCGCTTCTGGAGGAAGAGGATGGAGTAGAAAGTAGGGGGAAAGGACACATGAGGCCAGAGCTGGACGGTGAACAGAAAGCAGAGAGGAGGGAGGCTGACTTCACAGGGATGAAGGAAAATGGAGAGAACACTCTCTGAAGTCAGATGTGGCTTCCTCTGGATGAGAATGAGAGGATTCAAGTGGGGGCCCTAAGTAGCATGTGTTGACTGACTTGTACCAGAAGGTGGGGCTAGGATTTCCAGTCAAGAAGACTGGGTCAGGCTTTGGGAGTGGATGGGGAAAGCAAACCGAAGGACTGAGGGGCCGTGAGCTCTCCAGAGCCTGAAAGCTCCAGCAGCTTCTACTGTGCCTATTCTGTCCCTGCTCCTGCCCTCCCCCATCCCCTGAGCCAGGCATCAGGTAGCCCTTCAGGTCCCATTGTCCTCCCAGGCCCCAGGGTTCCAAACTGGGCCTTACTTCAGCCTTTTATTCTATTTATCCATCAAATCTCTTGTCCATGATAGTGAGGCTGGGGGCCCCTTCCTGGGCAGCCCCCTGAACATTTTGCAAAACAGTTCCCTCCCCACCCTGGTATGCCCAGCAGCCCCCACCCCACTGTGCTCCCCTCCCTGGGCACAGTACTCCTTGCCACCACTCCATCTCTCCTAAGCCTTCGGCCCAGAGCCAGGCTCTCCCTCCAGGGGAGAGACCGGGAGGAGTGCTCAACTCTCAGGGGTTGGGGGGGCCTTGGCCGACCCCTCCAGCAGCCTTCTGTAGCAAGTCCAGGGCTTCCCAAAAGAAATCCTTCTGTGCAGCCATCAAAGGCATCCAGCCCACGATCTGCTTCATCTTTGCCATGCGGTCCTGCAATGTGGAACAACTGTGGATCTGGTTGAGGTACTCCTTACAGGCCCAGGCTGTCCCCCCAGGGTCCTGAAGTACTCCGGCCCGTGGGTTGGGTTCAGGGGTCCCCACCGCTTTGCTGGCTGGCAGGTCTCGATAGGCAGGATGGTGCTCAATGTCGTGGCTGGAGAGCATGTAGAGACACTCTCTGGTAGAGCAAAGTGAACAGGCACACAAAGGGACCTGGGAGGAAAGAAGGGGTGGGGCTGAGTGGGGCCTTTACTGAGGGGTTCCCACCAAGCCCCAGCTGTTGCATCCCTCCCCCCAGACCAGCCCTGAGCCAGTGAGCGAGCTCACTGGCTGAGCCCCGAGGTTATATGAGGTCAGAGAGGGCCAGCAGTATCTGCTAAGGAAAAGAGCCAGGAGCCATGGTGCGTGGCAGGAAAGGTAGGTGGGTGGTGCCGGGGAAACGGGGCCCCTGGGTCCCTGCAGGAGTCCCAGCTACAATCCTGTGGGCTACCTGCCCTCTCTGGTTGCCCACTCGCCTAATCCTGCTTGCTCTGACCTTCACATGGAGTTTGACGAAGGAGGCACTCCCCTTAGGCCATCCGGGGAGGCGGCCTCCAGCCCCACAGCCACAGCCCAGCAGCTCCTTGCTGAAGTCCGAGCCCTGGCTCAGCACCAGGGAGTGATTGAGGCCACACCACAGGGCAATGGGGTGTTGCAGATAAAGCACCTGAGGACACAGGGCCAGGGCTCCTAAGGGGGGAACATCAGAGCACTGGGGGCCCAGGTCAGAGAAGGGTGACAGGAAGGCTCAGGGCAGAATCTAGGGAAACGAGGAACGGGAAGAAATAGGACCCCGCACACCTTCCCCAGGTGGTCTGCCCTGCCGAATGAAGACCAGCAGCAATCTCTCTCTCACTGGTTCTCTTGAAGCCCCCAAAAGTCTACTATATGGGGTCTAGCTTTGTTGGTTCCTCATCTTTGCTTTCCAGAAAACAGGTTATGTGCCTGAGGCCAGGGCCTGCAGTCTTCTCTCATTCACACGCCACAGGCCTCAGCCAGCCCAGCCTCTCATCCTGCCTTCCAGCCTCAGGTTGAGAAACACCCTCCTTCTTCCCCAGGCTTAAAGATACAATCTCTCCTCTGCAATTCCTGGTTAACCTCCAGGAAGGACTTCCCTCTCTGTCATTTTCAGTTTTTCATATTATCCTATTTTGAAAAAACATTTCCTCGGGATTCTGTTTTTCAGGCAGAAGACCTGGTTACATGACCAGTCTGAGATTGACCACGTTCTTGTTCTCAACACAGTCTTTCCTGAACCTTCCTGTGATCCAGCTTTTCTCCCTTACTATGCTTACTATGCTTACTGACATGTTCTCCATATGCACTTGACCAGCCAAATCCAGGGCCTCCACTGAATGTTTTCTCCTGACACGGTGAGTGCTTTAATTTTGAAAATATGGATAAATAATTCATAGTCATTATAGAAACATAAGATATTGATGAGCAAAAATTAATTGAAAAATCACTGGAAATCCCACCATCCACTGTTAGCATCTTGCTAGATACTCTTTTTCTCTGCTGTCTATACAAATGTATACAGTTGGCCAATGAACACAGGTGTGAACTCCACAGGTCCACTTATACCCAGATTTAAAGCTCAGGTCCATTTATATGCAGATTTTAAAAATCCGAGTATAAGTGGGCCTCTGAAGGTGAAACCTCTGTTGTTTGAGGGTCTAATGTCTTTTTTAAAAATATTTTATTCATTTATTTTTAGAGAGGAAGGGGAGGAGAGAGGAAGAAGAGAAATATGAATATGTGGCTGCCTCCCGTGCGTCCCCCGCTGGGAACTGGCCTGCAACCCAGGCATGTGCCCCAACCGGGAATCGAACCACGACCCTCTAGTTCCCAGGCCCGCGCTCAATCCACTGAGCTACACCAGCCAGGGCGGTCTAATGTCTTTTTAATCCATGGTTGGAAATCCAAATACGTGGAGGGCCAACTTAAGTTACATGTGGATTTTTGACTATGTGGCGGGTTGGTATCTCTAATGCCTGTATTGTTCAAAGGTCAACTGTAAATTGTCTTTTAAAACAAAAATGAGATCATACTATGTAAACCACTTCGCACATATTTTTCACCTAAAAATATGGCATGATCAATTTTCCATGTCCGAAAAGTATAATCCTGCATTATCACTGTCACCATGAATCACTTCCTCCTGTGTGAAGCTTCCGGGACATGGCGTCCGAGGGCACGCCTCCTGTGTCAGTGACTTTTCCATCCCCTCTGCCTGTGATGACGGCTTCCACCCAGGTTTGCTCCTCTATGTCTGCTTTTGTCATTTCAACCTTGTTCCAACTTGGCACCAAATTGCCAGCGAAATAGTCCCACTTTACTCTTCTACTCTCTCTGCAAAAATGTTCCAAATTCATGCTCTTTCCTCAAAGCAGAGTCACCAACTCACACATTTGTTGCTGATACCATCTTTCTTCAAGGGAACTATTGTCAGAGTCTGCTCACATCTAATCAATCAGTTTCCAGGGCCTGTTCCTTTTCTTTAAAAATATCTCCTATATCCATTTCTTTCCATTCTCGTTGCCCCTGTACCAGCCTGGGCCCTCGTTTCCCGTGCTGCTCTTACTCAACAGCCTCCCAGTGGGCTTCTCATTCACAGCCTCCTGTGCACTCCAGCCTGTTCTCAGTCATCTTTTGGGCTGCCCTCTTCTGCTCCAGAACCCCAAATGACTCTTTCCCACGTCAGTACTTCTCCAAGCTCACCCCCACCTACCCCACCTCACACTACCTATTACAAAATGCCCTCTTTCCTCCCATCAGGCCAGTCTTTTCACGGTCCCAAATATGTACAACCTTTGTCCGTGTCCCCATAGCACAGATGCCTCTCCCTATCCCCACCTGAATACTGTCTAACCCACTAGGCCCAACTCACATCTCACCTCTTCTTCTTCTTCTTCTTCTTTTTTTTTTAAGATTTTATTTATCTTTAGAGGGGAAGGGAAGGAGAGAAGGAGAGAAGGAGAGAAATATCAATGTATGGTCGCCTCTTGTGTGCCGCCTGCTGGGAACTGGCCTGCAACCCAGGCATGTGCCCTGACTGGGAATCGAATCGAGATCCTCTGGTTCGCAGGCCCACAATCGATCCACTGAGCTATACCGGCCAGGGCCACATCTCACCTCTTCTTGCTACTCCAGCCCCCCCCCCCCCCCCCGCCCCCAGTCTTTCCACTTCACTAAATTCCTATGGCACTGACAGCATGCGCTGCACAGAACAAACCTCATAGTGTCAGCCTTGGGTTAAGACACGCAAAATACCCTTTGGCTTGACCTCCTAGGGAGTAGGAAATGGAGTCTACGGAAATTGAAAAAGTGGAGAGATCCAGGGGTCAGGAAATTGGAGGAAGGGGATCAGGATGAAAATTTCTAGGAAACGGTCTCACCTGTGTGGGTTCCCCTCGGTCCATTTTGTCCCCTGTTCCCAGCTGCCCGTATCTATTATTTCCCTGCATAAAGATTCGGCCAAATTCATCCACCAAACCAAGGTGATTGTAGCCAAGAGCACAGAATAGGACCTAGGGGGTAAGAGAGAGAGAGATGGGCATTCAGTTCCCTCCAGAGGAACCTCGAACTCCAAAACCTTCCGGCCACCAGCCTGCTAGCCCTGGATGATCTCTTTTGGCCTTGCCCTCTATGTAACCCCTCTCTCTGGGCCCCCTGTCCCTCCCTGATCAATCATTTGACTCCTGCTCACATTTCAGACCCTCAGAACCTTTCAACCCCTAAAGCCCCTCCAAGTTCGTTCTCCCCATCCCTCCAGGATCCTACCTTGGCAGGCAGTGAGAGAGCAAGTGGCATCTGCTGGTCCAGGGGGTCAAAGGCTTGAAGAGTCCCAAAGAGATCACGATACACCCCTGGGGTATGCACCTCAAAATATACCCCACCCTGGTCTGGGGGGGTTGGGTGTCCTCAGCTCAGCAGCTTTGGGCACCCATTTCCTCGGGGAAGGCCTCATGCTGGGTGAAAACTACAAGATCCGAGGTCTCATGCCCACTAAAAACGCAGCAGCTATGATGTCTGGGGATCTAAACATCTTTTTACCGGGATGCCCTAGGTGTCCACCCCAGACTTGGAATAGGGATTGCGAGGGTGGGGGTGGTGTCTGTATCTGGAAGATCTGTACAAGGTGGGGTCTGGAGAAGAAGGGAGGTGGTTCTTACCAGTAATGTAAAGAGTACTGCTCTGGTTGGAAGCCATGCAGGTCACACGCAGGTGAGGCAGGCAACGGGACACCTTCCTCAGGGCCAGCTGTACTGTGTAGGAGCGTGGCTGGTCCAGCTGGGTTTCATTCACTACCAAAGAGTAGATCTTTCCTTCCTCTGGGGGGTGGGGGAACAGGTGATTATACGCAAGAAGGGACCCTCCAATATCCCCAACATTACCTTTCCAAAAGACTCCTCTAAGCCACATAGGACGAAATGTTTACTGCCCTGAAATGGAGTTGGTAGAAAAAGGGTAGAGATGAAATAAGAAAAGCGTGACCTTGGGTTTCCCAGATTCCAGCCCCTTACCACCCAAAATAAGTCAGGAAGTCCTTCAGTAGAGAGAAAACCTAGTAGATTTGGCAGAATCTAGTCTGAATGTTGAAAATTATCTCTGGGGATTCAGGGCCTTGCATAGCATTAAGAAGTCCCGAAGGTCTCAGGCTTGGGAGTGTGGTCAAGTACAGGAAACACTGAGAAAATACGGGGTAGTTTGGGGTATGAGATGTCTGGCATGGAGGTTAGGGAGATCAGAATTTGAAGCAGGGCCCTTTACTCATATGAAACACGCATAATCTTAGACTAGGAACAGACGAGGCAGAGCTATTTGGTTTGGGATGGCCTGCAGAACCCTGTGTCAGAGGCCTCCCGCTCTCCTACTTTACACCCCTGCAGTAGGTCCTGAAGAATCTGCAGACAACAATTTGCAAAGAACAATTTGCAAACCACTGCTTGAAGCCACACCTGTGAGGAGCAGCAGAGCCCGCTGAGTCTCCTGACCAACCAGCACAATCTGTTTAAAGCTCATGGAGTGGTGGAAGGTCATCTTGAAGACCCGCTGCCCGCTGGACTGCAGGTAGACCTCGACACAGTCACAGGCCTGGCTGCCAGTTGTGCCGACCACTTCCAGCTGCTCCCGAGTAGCCAGTACATAGAGGTATTTACGGTAAACTGTATCACATCTTGGGTCTGAGGCAAACTATAGGAAAAGACAAAGGTGTCTGGGATCTAAGGCTTGGAGTGGGATGAGGCTGGGGCGGGAGATGAGACAGTTGGGTACAGAGCTGGGAAACGGAGACTTGTTTTCCAGTTCTACTTATGGGAAGGCAATTTGGTGTGGGCACTGGGTCCCTGGAGGCTGGGTGGGTTCTTAGCTGCAGAGATCTGCTACTCACATCCTTGGCTCCTCGACACAGCACAACATAGCGGCAGGCACGCTTCCACTGGATCTGGCCAAGGGTGGAGGAGACCAGGGCATTTTTGAGGAAGAAGAGAGTCCCCGCATAGTCAAGAATGAAGACGTGGTCCTTGGTGGGTAAGAAGCGGCGGTAGCCGTGGGCTAGCAAAGGAGCTACACTCTTGTTGAGACAGCGGCGTCGGCCCCCAAATGCCTGGAAATATAGGCCTTTTGTGTCTGGAGAAGGGAAAGATATGAAAAGTGCAAGGGGTTGGGATGACGCAAGGGAAATGAATCAGAACTTGGGCAAACAAGATTTCTTAGACACCCTGGTATTTAGCTCCTCTCCACCCCCAGGGCTGGGGAACGGAACCCTTCCAAAGGACAGATGGAAACCTTAGAGACATCCTCAATTATACCCGATGTCTGAATGGTGGTTTCCTGGCCTATCTCAGCCCAGGGCCATGAAAATGCTTCTAAATGAACACTTCTTTGATCCAAACTTGCATCAGAGACATTAAGGGAAATACAATAATACATAGAAAAGAAGCAGAGGAGTGAAGAAGAGAGAAGAGTGAAGAGAAATGCTCAGAAAGACCAGTAACCCCCCCCTTCACCCTGAATTCTGAATCTGCTGTGTGGCTCTCCCTTAATCTGTAGTATGTGAGATGAAATGTGTAGATAGGGGCTACTTAGGAAGGGAGGGGGGTTAGAGCATGTTTCTCAATCAGGGGGAGATTTTATCCCTCAAAGGACATTGGTTGTCACAACTGAGGGAGGTGCTACCGGTATCTAGTGGGTAGAGCCCAGGAACACTGCTAAACATCCTATAATGCATAGCCCCCACACTTTAAAGAATTATTTGGTCCAAAATTTCAGTAGTGACAATGTTGAGAAGTCCTGGTTTACAGGAGGGCAGATTTGAGGTTTGGGGAGTGGAAGATGTCTCTGGGCAAGATTTGGGAGACAGTTTGAATATGGAAGGAGACATGGCAGGGAGGCTAGTAGTGAGGGCTCTGGGTGGGACATGGGACATCTACAGCCATCAGAAGGTGGCTCTAGAGACTTGAATTACTCGATGGCATGTTTGCGTTTCTTCCAGAGAAAGGGGCCCTGGAAGGTTGGCTGGGAATGCTGAGGTCATCAGGCAACTCTGTGGAACAGGAGGGGTCCCAGAATAAGGTAGGATAGAGGCAAAGAGAACTGGAGGTTTGGGGGAAGCTGTACAGTTAAGAATGGCAGCTCTCTTCCAGGGCCGGACCCCAGAACCCTGCTCTCGTAGGCGAGGACTGAGCCTGCGACAGATGCGTCTCCACACGCCCTCAGCATCGCACACTTCGTGGAAGTAGTGGCAGGTCTGGCCTAGGGCAACTACATCTCTTACTGGAAGAAATGAGATGATGTGTTCCACCTGTGGGGAGAGGAGGGGTGTAGGGGGGGGTCATTGGGGGTCCTCAGTGGTTTGGCCCCTAGTCCTTTATTCTTCATATTTCCCCCTCCCCAAGGACTCACCAGCTCTGGGGGGAACAACTGAACAGAAATAGGGTTCCCTCTCCCCTTCTTCTCTTCACCCCCAGGCTCTGGGCCACATGAAGGGCAGCTCCGCTTCACCTACCCAAGAAGAAAGGGGAGCAAGGGCTTTGATGAGAACCATCTCTTGTTTTCTTCCTCCTCTCAGTCTGTGTTTTCATTAACTACTATCTTGGAGGCTCATAGCTCTATCTCCCAGCTTAGTGCTGTCAAGTCCTCCCATCTTTCTCTCTAGGTCCACGGCTCACCCTCCCTGTCTACCTTGTTCCTTGGTCCAACTTCTCCAAGTAATCCTTCCCCAGATATCTTGCTATCCTCTTGCCCTTCCCTTGCCTTGCCTCCACCCCTCACCCTGAGCCTCTCCTCCCATCCACACAGCCCTGTGAATTTTTGCAGCTTCTGTCTCAGGCTTCTCCTCACCATCCTGACTGCCCCCTCCCTGCTCCTGTCCTCATCTCTCCGAGCCCTTTAGCACCCATCTTGGGCCCAGTCCCTGCTGCCTTTCCCACACCATGTCCCCTGCCTGGGCTTGGGGACCTCTGGGCCCCTCTGCCTCCTAGGCCCTCCCCCATGGAGTCTGGGGCAGACAAACCTCTGTGACCTCACTGCCTAGCCACTGTGACCTATTTTCCCCAACCTTGCCAGAGATTTTTCTCTTAGCTCCTCAGTTCTGGCTCAGCTCTAGCCCCCCAATGGCTTGGCATATGCATTTTCCAGGAGAAATACAGTGTGAACTCCCGGTTGATGGGGCCTTTACTTTCAGGGATTAGGAGGAGGTTTTTCCACTTGAGGCCCTTTTAGCACTAACTCTGTAGAGAAACACTGGTAAATTCTTCATATCTCAGCAGGCCAGAGCCTCCAGGGGATTTGTAGCTCAAGAGTATAAACTCAAAAAAAAAAAAAAAGTACCGACTCAGTTTGACAGGTGAGATGGACAGTGGCCCTGCTAATGATCATCTGTCTCCCAAAAGCATGCACCAAATTAAAGTAGGGACAATTCAGCACAAACTCTTTACAGTCTTATAAAAAATACACCCAAGTCCTGGCTGGTATAGCTCAGTGGATTGAGCACAGGCCTGTGAACCAAAGTGTTATCAGTTCGGTTCCCAGTCAGGGCACATGCCTGGGTTGCAGGCCAGGTCCTCAGTAGGGAACGCATGAGAGGCAACCACACATTGATGTTTCTCTCCCTCTCTTTCTCCCTCCTTTCCCTTTCCTCTAAAAATAAATAGCCCTAGCTGGTGTGGCTCGGTGGATTGAGTGCAGGCCTGCGAACCAAAGGATCTCAGTTTGATTCCCAGTCAGGGCACATGCCTGGGTTGCAGGCCAGTTCCCAGTGGGGGATGCACCAGAGGCAATCATACATTGATGTTTCTCTCCCTCTCTTCTTCCCTTCCCTTCTAAAGATAAATAAATAAAACATTTAAAAAATAAAAATAAAAATAAATAAAAGCTAAAAAAGGCATCCAAAAGTAGACTGCCTTCCTGGGTCAGTAACATCACTGCAGGTATGAAGGGCAATCTATTATGGTGGAAGAAAGGGCTAGATTTACTATGAAAGCTTAGCATATCTCCCAGAGTCTAACACATAGTCTTAGTGTTAGACTCTTATGTATGCTGGGGGAGAGGGAAGGGGGAGAGTGATATATATGAGGAGAAACAGGGGTTGAGGTTGTGTCTGTCTAGGTAGGGGCAGATCTGCACCAAGAAATCCAACAAGTAGCTGGCTCTTCCATGGGCTCAAAGGAATCCAGTCCAGGTCAGCCAGCCGAGCTGCACAGTATTACAGACTTGGTTTACTGGGCTAACAGACCCATCTAATCAAACTTTCTCATGGTGACTAGTAAACAGCTGGTTTAGGTTACCTAGGATTAAATTTTTAAATATTTTTATTTTATTTTTAGAGAGAGCAGAAGGGAGACAGGGAAAGAAACTGGTGCTAGAGAAACGACAGTCAATCGGTTGTCTCTGGCACGCCCCCAACTGGGGACCTGGCCCAAAACCCAGGCATGTGCCCTGACTGGGAATCGAACCCACGACCTTTTGGTGTAGGCCGGCACTCAATCCATTGAGTCACACCAGCCAGGACTAGGATGAAATTTTAATAGTTCAATAGTTTAGGAATGTCAATATCTGAGATGTGATTTATGAGTGCATAGACAACTACTAACATACTAAGGTGGACTTACTTAAGTCCTCAGGTCATCTAAAAGGATGTTAGATCTCTGCAGACAGAAAAAGCATAGTCAGTTTCCTTTCATTTCTGGGTCCCCTTTATTCACTCCATTTCACCTCAGGAGGCAGAGGGGGAGAACAGAAAAAGCGCGCCGTAAAAGCCGATGCAGTGGGAAGCCTGGGCTCTACTGCAAGCTGTCAGCACCTTGCTGTTTGCTCCTGCCAACTCATCCACTTCCCTCTGCCTCAATTTCCACACTTGTAGAGGACTTCTAGATGAGAAACGGTCCCTTCTAGGCTAATCCCCCGGTCTAGTCAACACAATTCCTGCCCCAGCGCGCTCCTCTGGCTGGGCTGGTAGGCCGGGTGGCAGCTCTTGAAGTTTTCGCGGGCTTCTGGAACCCTCCTTCCAAAAGTTGAGCCGGTCATCTTAGGCTCTGGGAAGCCGCCCGCCGGGTCTCCGCTGATCATTGCAGAGCCTCAGCCTTTGCAGTCGGAATGGCCTCCGTGGAACGAGCCCCTGGTGCACGGGTCTCGGCGTTGCCCAGCACTCCCCGGTCTACCTCACACCCTCAAAGCTGGCTCGCTCCTTAAAACACATTTCGCACACACTACTGTCCCTGCAGTGCTTCCAACCGAAACGTGCGCAGCGATCACTGTCTTTACTTTAGTCTCAAAGTTGTAGCTCACGCACCTCCTCCTTAGCGAAGGGGCCACCTTCTCTCCCATGCTATTGGTAGATAGATCCGTCCTTCAGAGAAGGGGTCGGGCCAGGTTCCCTTCAGAGAATCTAATTGGCTTTCTTGGCAGTCACTCGCCTGTATCTGGCTTGCGATTGGTCTTCATTAGAAGAGGACTAGGCGCCCGGGCCTTGTGATCTCTGCCCCTATCCCTTCTAGTTGAGCGCTAGCGTCCCCGCCTCCTGATTGGACCTGATTGGTTCTATCTCCAGCTCTAAATAGTGTGATTGGATGTGGCTGCACGGGGCTAGCCAGGTTGAAGCGTCGGCCGTTGGCGAGAGCCCCATTCTAGTCCTCCTCCTTTCTCTCGCCTCACTCCAGCGCCTGAGTCTCCACCCCCTGGCGGGTTCTGATCAGCCACTTCCTACGCGTCTAGGGACCGCGATTGGTCCACCTGGTATCTGGGCCCACTTCCTCCCCCTTGAAGTCACTACGGCGGCTCCAAGGAGGGGTGGGGGGGGGAAGAAGGGACGGCCGGTGCCGTCAGTCAGGCAGCGGTAGCCGCCGGGAGCGGATGGCGGCAGCGGTAGCGGCCCCACTCGCCTCGGGGGGTGAGGAGGCGGCGGCCACGAACTCAGTTCCAGGATCTCCGGGTCTGCCTGGGAGCCGCAGTGCAGAGCGGGCCCTCGAGGAGGCCGTGGCTACCGGGACCCTGAACCTGTCTAACCGGCGCTTGAAGCACTTCCCCCGGGGCGCGGCCCGCAACTACGATCTGTCAGACATCACCCAGGCTGGTGAGTGCACCCGGCCTAGAGCCCTGATGAGACCCTCATTTGCATAGCCCCTCCCCGTCGCCTGCTACTCCCGGGGAGGGAGAGTCTGGCCCTTCACCTGGCAGTCGGTGTTCTTTACTCTGATGATTTGCATAAGCCTGCTACTGCCCTCTCCCCACCTTAAGAACTACTAGACAATGACTGCGTTTCTCGTGCTGGTAAGCCCCGAATTCCTGGCCGAATGTTGTGAGCTGCCCGCCCTTCTCTTCTCTTTATTTGCATATTGGCGCACCTGTAGAATGGTCCCGCCCCTCACCTGGTTGGCTTATTTGCATGGCTTCTTCCATCTCAGTTCTGATTGTTCCATAAAGCAGCCCCCGTGAACCCCTCTAATGACTCCTTTCTCTTCTTCCACTTCGTCGCAACTTTCCCCGTTCCACCGAGATCCCAGAAGACTTAGGACGCCTTTCCCATGGGTTTGTCCTTAACAACCTGTTGTTCTGCTTATTTTGCTTGTAGTCCCGCCCCGTAAGGTCCCCGGCCCTCTCCTCTCTTTGCCCAGCCAGCCTATGGGAAAGAAGCAAATCTTCCACCTCCCCTCTTTTCTCCCCAACTCTTCCGTCCATTATTCCTGACCCTCTTATCTGAGACTCCTCCTCCTTCCTGCGTGTGTGAGGTCACTGTGGAGCCCGTGACCTCATAGGGACCCTAGAATTCCCACTTCTGTTTCTGCTTTCCCCAGGGGAAGAGACTTGAGGCAGTTGCTAGAAGGAAGGAAATCTTATCTTCTTGCTAGGAGTGCTGGAAACTTAGACTGACGATCCTTCCACTCCCCCACCCGCAGGATCCTTCTAATCATGCTTCCTCCTCCCTGGTGTCTGTTGATGGTGGGGTTTGGGGGACTCTACTGTGACAGGTGAGTCAGGCCTCAGCTGCTCTGGAGACAACCTATGACCTTGGGCTGGCAGCTGTATGTGTACGTGTGGCGGGGTGGATAGGAAGAAGGGAGGAGGACTGCATTCCCAAAGCCCCACCCCAGCCTAGCCCAGGGTGGGACTAGGGGTTGGCTCAGTGTCCTCCTCATTGTTGACACTGCCCTGGGACTGCATTTCTCCCCTAGCAGGTGCCTGCTTACCTGCAAACACTCAAATGGGCACAGACACACTCT